ATTTAGGCTAGATAAATATAAATTCGCTAGACTTCCCGAGGAGGGTTGATACTGATATCAACCTTCCTGAGCATGTGGTCGGTCATAAAAATAAAGCCAATGACTGAAATAATAAAATGGTTGCGAAAATAAATGATGGAAATGTTGTATTGACCTCACCTAGTGTGGGATAGAAGGGCAGGAGAAAGAAGAAGAAAAAGATGGAGTCAGATACATCAGTAGATTACTATTTTATTAATATCATAATAATATATCATACACGGTATACAATAATTTTTAAGAATATAAATCGACTTCAAACAGGAAACTAAAAACATTGTTAATACCTATAACATTTGAGGATTGCCATCGATTTCTCTGGGATGCCATCATCAGATCCGTGGTTCCTTATCATGGTACCACCCTTGGGATATATTCTAACAAAAAAAGAATCATCAACTCCTTGTTCTGGCACGCATCACATTTTCTATAACTTGTAGTTGTCATTATAGTTTGAAAAAACACATTTGTAGTAGAACATGTGTTCATTAAATGAACACACTCTGTGTGTTTATAAATTCTATTACAGCGAATAAAATTTCTAGAAGGAACAACTCACAATTTTGGTTTACAACTTTCCTCTAGTAGAAATTTTTTGAATCTTTATTATTAAAGGGATTTTTAAAACAACACGACAAATTTAAATGAACTTTCTTGATGTTATAATCTACGCGTCAACTAGTTAACAATAACAATCTTTACAATCTATTTCCGTACTAAAATTACATTTTATTTTTTAGTACAATTTGCTTACTAAGATTCTTGTCTGAAAGAAAAAAGTTAGAAACGCTCGTCCATGTTGATCAAAAAGTGTTTGCAGAGTAATCTCTCGTGTTAACCCACTTTTCTCAATCCTTTAAGTGAATCTCTCTCTCTCTCTCTTTCACACACACTCACTCTCTCTTTCAAGCGGAGATAAGGGAAACTTATAGGAATAAACTAATGGATAAAAACCCACATCGAGCCTTCGCTACAATGAAAATAAGCTGAAGTCAGCACAACAATTTTATGAACTCTATGCACGATGACAAGCTGTAATAACATTTAACGTGTAACTTACGACATACCATAGATTTCTTTTATGAATGCACAAATAAGTTATTTTTCATTGAAATTATTAGTTGTCTAACACAGAGGGACAAAAAAACTTTCTGTTTATATAGTGTCAACTCTCCACAAAGCTTGGGCAAATATTTCCTTGTCTTTCGCAACTCCTTTAGGCAGCCTTACTGATCTCCGTTTTACAAAACCGATGGTCTCTGCTTCAAAGCTCGTTTCATCCATAAAACTGCGGAAATATCTTTACTATCATGGGGAGTCTTGGTTTCCATAATTACCGACCGTACCCATCCCAATGATGTTTTAATAAAGATGACGAGTGTCCATGCTGCCCATTTAAAAAAATTTCCCCTTTACTATTATACACATATAAGTGAATGTGACAGATGATATAGAACGTATGATACGGGATGAGATGGCAGTCTATAGAATTACAATCTAAACCAATTGGCGTAATGTGAGTGCCTCAATTTCGGTGCGCTAATTATTATTATTATTATATATAATTTATTGTACACCACAAAAAGTTTTATACAGTTCATATAAAATAAAGGTAAAATTTTCCATTACCATAGTGTGATTTATCATCTAAAAAAAAATTTTATTCGATAAAGAAAAATCACAAAAAAAAATAAACAACAAGTAGAATTATCTGGTCGCGCAGTTTTCGTGAACAAATTTCAAACTCGTAATTTTCACTAAGAAAGTCCGCCATTTTGTTGTTGACAACATGTTAGATATAAAGCGACTAAAGGATTTTTTAAAAAAAAATACTCACATTTTTATACCATTGGCGGGTAGAGGACGCTCACAGCCTTCCAGAATTGGTGAAAGCGCTTACCAGGTTTGGGGAAAATGGTACGAAAACGCGCCTCAGCCAGGTAGCCAATGAAGTGAGCTTCACGGCGACCGTACTGAGGCACATTTGCACGCAAATCCCGCCAAAGCCTTTCAATATTTTGGGTGTGAGCGCCAGTGACTGGGTCTACAAAGTAAAGATTGTGATTCACAGTGAAATGTTGGAATCCTTCATTTTTTAAATCTTCATATGCTTTCCAACAATCACTGTGAATCACAGTTCCCGGCAACACGTATTTCTTTAACACGTCTAAAAGAGTGTCTTTATTCCTTTGAGCCACTGGGACAAAGAACTGATTTTTATTTATTTCCTCTTTCGACGCCGCCAAAAACCCATTGGCCATGGATAATTCGGCCCCGATTATACTTGCGGCGACCGAACTTTGCTTCATCTATCTCAACAACTACATCCTTTCCTCCAATTGGCCGTGAATTTCGAATCAAATAATCTATAAAAACCTCCCGCATATAGCTCGCCCAATCGACATACGTTCTTGAGGAAATATGTAGTTCATTAAGCATTATAGTTGTGCAGGCCGCGAACGGCGACACGCAAGTACATATTAACAAATTCACATACTTTTCCAAGGGATAATCTGGCATTATTAAAAAAAGAGTTTCTAAAAATACTAAAAGTACTGTTACACTGACACTTCTTCGTCTTTGGTTTAATTATTACATTATAACCTCTAAAAACTTTCCGTTGTAAAGGCCCATTTACACGATGCCATTTTCTTGTACATACAAGAGCAATAATTGAATGCAATAAATTGCGCGCAATAATTGACCATCAAGAATTGTAAGCAACAGTTTACACGCAGATATAGTAAAAAAAATTGAATGCGATTATTGTATGCAAGTCTTGACAGGAAATAATTGCAAAGGTCTTTTGTTTACACCAATGCAATTATGTTTAGGCGATTATTGCTTTCAAGTTTTGACTTGTCTAAACACATGCTTGTATGTGCGTGTACAATTTATTGGCGTGTTGCTTCAAGTATTGCACGTATTTGCGTTGACAAATTTTTCATGCAATTGTTGAACGTTTTACAAAGGGCTGTTTTTTTTTTAAAAAATGGCTCAATAATAAGTGTTCAAGTTAGATTATGCCGATTAAATATATTTCATTGAGATTTATTTATTATGATCCATCTATTATTATTCATATTTTTATCCAACTTTTTTTACGACCTTTTCTCAATATTTCTATCCTCAAAAGAACAGCAATGATTAAATACCCTCACTCATTGCACAAATTTTTGCCAAGGAAGAGAGAATGCAATTGAATACAAGAATTGCTTAAGAAATTATTGTGTGTGCTGTTTACACCAAGGAAAGTTTTGAAACAAAACTTGAAGCAAGTCTTGTTCAACAGGCAAGAATGTTATGTGCTGTTTAGACCATGCAACTCATTTATTGCTTCAATTTAATTGTATACTACAGGCAAGAAACTTGCACCGTGTAAATGGGCCTTAAATCAAAAACACAGTCTTTTCCACACTAAACATTTAAAACTTTTCACAAGAACTCCACGACGACACAAAAAATTAACTAGTATTAAAATATCTGATTGAGAATCTAATATAATTTTACAAAAAGAAATAAAATCTAAATTACAATATGTACATAATTCACTAGAACTAGTTGACGCGCACATATTATCCACCATTGCAAATACGAAATGAAGCGGTATAATAAAGCGGGAAATACTTTTTAAAAAAATTTAATATACGATGGTAATAAATATCAATACAGCCGATATGCTAATATCGATTTCGGAACTCGATTACAAATTTTATAAAGTAAAGTATAAGTCTATTTAACACAAACTGATAGGTTTTTCGTAATTGCACATTTTTTTTATATATTAAGAAGCCTTATCTAATTAAGATTAATAGTGAATTTTTTCTTTAATTTTTTTTATTAAAATTACGAAGATTTTTATTTTTACATACGAAATATTCACCTTTCATAAATTTTAATTTTTTGTTTAATGTAAAAAAAATATTCATATTTCTGGCCGTGGAAGAGTCAAATTTTATTATGAATTAATAATTATTATTTCATTATTAAATTTGACTCTTCCACGTGCTTCGCCAGAACACTCGCTATGTCGCCCCTGAGTGTGTCTTCAACCACTCTGCGCTCCGCTACGGATCTCGGCGGCGGCAGGACCTCCGGCGCGAGGTTCTGGCTCCGCCTTTTCATGTTCACTCTAGGGGTAGGGACCACAAGACCACATGGAGTCGGGGTGCTCTGTGTCGGATCTGTGACTCTTATTTTTTTAAAAAAAGTTTTTACAATCGATACGAGTCGGCACTCCCTACATATATTTATCATATTGGCAGTACTGTACATTGAGTTTTCGAAGTCCACTTAGTAAAATGGCACTTTCGTAGTGAAAATAACAAGTTTTAAATAATTTATATCTCGAAAACTGTGAGTGAGCAGATAATTCTGCGTGTTGATTATTTCATTAGTAATTTTTCTCTATCGAAAAAAGTTTTTTGTTAGCTCGAAAATCAAACTGTGGTACTGGAAATTAATACCATTTATTTATTTATTTATACTTCATTGTTACACCTTAGGCTAAAGGCTACAATGGGCGAACTTCATTAAGTTCGCCCATTGTAATGGCCATTCCTAATGGCATTCTTTACCAGTCAACCCATGTCATGGTGTGAAGTAGATGGCAGGTGCTAAACCAAAAGTAAATAAAAGTAGGAAAATATATACATAAAAATCAAATTAAATATAATCTGTGGACATATACGAATATGTATATGAATATTATTAATCATAAACTACAAATATATGACATACATGTATAGATGACCTCAACATTGCCATTACTTTAGGATAACATTATCCTGTGTTGTAAAGACGTCATACGGAGGCATCATATTTTTTTTTACAATTTGTCAATATAATATTTTTATTGAATTATTTTAGAACAATCTCTCACATCGCACTGTCTTCATCTCGCAGCTTCCTTAACAACGGACACAATAATTATCTTATAAACCGATTGCGGGAAGTTCCTACAAAACTCCTTCGGTGGGCGCTTTGAACATGGAGTATAGCTCCATCAACTGCTTGTTGCATTTCCCGTGGTTCTTCACGTTGCGAACGTCACAGCGCCGGTTTACATGCACTTTGGCGCCCTCTATCCCCGACCAGGCCTTTGCGACGGCCACAAGCCTGCTCCAGGGCATCGGCCATTCACCCCTGAGGAACTGGTCAAAATACCAACGAGAAATTATATATACACACAACGGTGGTAGGGCCACGCAGCAGCCTCGGCTGTTGCACGAACGGGCAGGCTCGTCCGGGTAAGTAAAACGACCTCACATAACCGGCGTAAATTGGAAGTATAATACTTTCGCGTTTCGTCTGGTGAGCCAGGTGGTCGGAGCCCAATTTTCAAAAAGTTGTCAACGCTGGGACCCTCGGGTGTAGCAGATGTCCACGGGCGGCGGTATTCGCTTAACATGAGGTGAACCGTCTGCTCGTTTGGCAGCTTTTCACATAAAATAATACATTAATATTAAAAATAACAGTATTAGATGTAGTGTTAGGGCCGCGTACCAGTCTTCTCTGTTATGGTACCACGACCTCACAGAAGACTGGCGTGAAGTGTGGTACTTCTGCATTTCCTCTGGTGAGTGAAGTAGACGGGCCGCCGATGGCCACCTTCAAAAATAACGGAACTGGACCCATTTTCAATAAAATGTATAAAATCAGAAGATGAAATTCATATTGACAAATATCAACACGAAATTATTGAAGCCACCAATACCACAGTACTGGCAATCATTACTTGGTACATGATGGCACATCACTAGATAATTGCATGTCGACTGGTCGCGTACTATACTTATCATATTTGACATGTTTACCTAGTATCTCCTATAAGTGGAGCAAATACGTGTACCAAATACGCCCGTGCTAAAATATCTGCAGTCAGAGTCATAAACCGGCAATCACACCTCAAACGACCGCCGTTTAATAGAACAAGTTGCATAAACTCACTTTGACAAAATATATATCTTTTCAGATGATTAAATTTGGGAAAATTTTCAGATTTTTTTTTTCTTATTACGCATTACACTCACTTATTGATAAAAGTCAAAATACTACCACTACACCGGAACGGAAAAGAAAAGCCACTGACCTGAGAAGAACCGGTGAAAGAAACTAAGTGGATATAGTTTTACATTGTGTACACTTTCATATGTTTAATACCTTAGGCGAAGATTGCGTGAATGCGTATAGGTTTCCTTTGTATATCGCATAAATGTATCACGCATGGAACACACGCAGCTAAGGCAATAGTCCGGGGAATTACCACAGCTAATATGGAACATGATTCATTCTTTAGACTTCAGATAGTCTTTTAGTATTGATCTATATTCTTAGTTGTCCATAAGGGAAGTAGCGGTGTCTATGACAACTTACTGGGCAAACTCGGCAACAAGTTGCATCGAAGATTATAGATAAATGAATTTTTATTATCTATTATTATCATGAAGGAGCTTTGGCAATCGGGGAACTACCACGGCCATACAGAACGCGCGCGTGAATTGGAAATATCACACTATCGCTTTACATCCGTCGGGTGAGGTAACTGTGACCCAATGTCCTAAAGACTGGCGACAATTCTGAAATCTCAAGCATTTTAGGTGTCCAGTGAACCGTCTGCTATATTTTTTTTTATGGGAAAAACAGTTTTTTTACGGCAAACGAGCAGGAGTCTCTGCTCACTTGGTGCTAAATGAAGCTAAAAAAGGTAAACTAAGAGAATCTCACCTGATCGAAAGGACGCCGTCCAATATGGAACATGATGTACAGCAGTGGGGCTTTATTCAGCGGCACCTCCGAGTCACAAACCTCCGCGATACCCAACTCCTTGTAAATCCACTCCGAATGCAACTGGAGATGGTCGTAAACCACCTGAACGAAATCAACCACGATCAACTTAAGCATGACAGTTTTAGCCGACTTTCGAAGGAGGGTAATGTTCTTCTAGCGTATGCGTGTTTATATAAATGAATACAGTTATAAAAGAATATTTTAAGACACATTTTTACACACACAACATTCTCTAGTCCCAAACTAAGCAACGCCTATAGTACGGGTACTAGAAAACTGATAAACATACTTTTCTTTTGTAAATAAATACATATTATACATATATAAACGTCTAGACACTGGGGAAACACAATGTTCATAACACAATATTTTTCTAGTAGTGAGGATCGAACCCACACCCTCTGACGTAAAAGGCTGATTGTATATAAATATAATTTTTTGGCTACAGCTTAAAGCTATTACGGGTTACAACATAGACGTTTCTAAAGTTAAATATATTTACGGGTTTGTCGCGTTTATTTTTAGTTTTATATCCCGATATTTCGAACTCGAAGTGAAATCTCAAATACAGTTTAATTTAGTAATGCGTAATCGCGTAAATACAATAAATTATCATTTGACGTTTCATAAGATTCGTCCCAGTTGTGTGAGTGTTAATAATATACCCTACTATTTCTATGTCTGCGAAAAAAAGATGGAGTTAGGGTTGTATTAAAAGCAGAGCGTTTTTTTTTTTGTTTAATTTTAATGGTTTATGATTTAATGTCAGTTAAATGATATTCTTACATTACTTTTCTAACATTATATTTTATCAACGCTAGTCATGAAATGATAGCCTCATTTTACAAAAAATTTTAACAAACTAAAAAAACAGACTTCAAACCGGAGACTAAAAAGCATTGTTAATCCCTTTATCATTAGAGGATTGCCCTCGATTTCTCGTGGATGCCACCATCAGATCCGGGTTTCCTTACCATGGTATCACCCTTGGGATATCTCCTTTCTAACAAAAAAAGAATCATCAAAATCAAATCGGCATATAAACGACGAAGTTTTCCGCGAAAGTATATAGAAAAAAGATAAAAATATATACGGTCAAATTGAGATACCTCCTTTTTTGGAAGACAAAAAATAAAAAAAATTATCGCGTTTATCATAATTCCTGACATTCCGAAACTTACGAAACGAATTCCTTTACAACATTCGGTAGACGTAATAATATGTATTATTTGCTATTATTATTTTTTATCAGTATAATTTAAGTGATGTCATATCCTGGAGCCCTGATAACTACTTTTCCGAGTCAATACGCTCGAACAAACCGAGTTCAATCCTCTTTGTCGGCACCAATGAAATTGTTAATTTTAAGTTCTTACTTATCACGTGCTCACCGGTGAAGGAAAACACCGTGAGGAAACCTGCACATTTTCGAAATAATAAAAATAAAATTTTTCCAATACGCAATGGGGCCGCGTGGTTGGGTGGTATGCCCTGATACCCTCTGTACAGAGGATACCTTTGCCCAGCAGTGGGACATTTACATGCTGTTAATGTATACCCTAAGGCTATCTCGTCCAGCGGATGTCATCAGTATTTGATTAGTCAAGATGGCTGCGTCGCTGGAGCGCTCTGCGTTGGCAGCAGGAACATTACCCTGAAAGGAAGCAATATTTGTCTTATTCTCAAGAAGTCTTTAAAAGGTGAACACATTTAGGAAAAGAAATAACAGGTGCAAAACGATTTTAAGAGGCTTCAGCTTGTAGTTATTAAAATTTTATCCTGAAATCATTTTATGAAACGTCCGAATCAAATGGGTAATCTGGGGAAGTAGACGATCTCACAGAAGATCGATGTGAGGAATTGCTACCTTAACAATATGTTTCCTGTATTTTTTTTTGTATTTCCTTGTGTGCAATAAAGTATATTCTATTAGAAAAAATATTATACTTTCCCCCTTTTCGTTAGGTGTCAAAACACTCAGCCCCGAATAAATTCGGTAAAATCTGTTACAATAGTGCGATTCAGTATGTATTTTTTACATGAATGCATATAATTATATAAAATATACAACAAGTACAGTGACAAAAACATAATCCTCCTTCTGGCGCAGTCGGGTAAAAATAACGTCGAATTGACAACCTCCTCCTTTTTCGAAGTCGGTTAAAAGTAAAAGCGCATTGAAAATTCGAATTGGTTACCTCCTCGAAGAACTGGGCGAACTCTGGAAAATCGTCTAAGCCGAACTGGTCGGACAACTCGAACGCCCTCGTGGTTTTTGAGACCAGCGTTGCTATCTCCTGCGTGTGTTTATCGTCCTCGTCTATAGAACAGAGCGCCTCCGCTATGGCTAAAGCGATCGAAGAAGGGGAGCTGTGGACGCCGTCGAAGCTGACGGAACTGGACGCATCTGCAGACAATGAGAAGTATTTAAGAACGGAATACGGAACCCTAAAAATTGAGAAGTATCGACAAAAACAATTGAAGCCATTAATAATTAGAAAAAAAAAGACAAAAATAGGGACACAAAAAATATATAAGGTATGGAAGATGAAAAATTAAGTTGAAAATATCAAGAAGAAATAAACAATTGAAACCAGGAAGATTTAAAAAACAAAAGGAGCACAATAAGATGAAGAGCAAAGTAAGAAATATCAACAGGAAATAATTGAAGCCAAACGAGTATAACGGAAATAGGCACAAAAGAATAGTACATCTAAATTAAATTAAGAAATGTCAACGATAAACAATTGAAGCCACTAAAACTATTAATAATACCATATTAGGTTAATAAGAAGTATATATCACGAATAACATTCGAAAAGAAAATTGAGAAATAACTAGAAATAATTGAAGCCGTTTTAATAAAAAAAAGCTGGAGATTAGGCGTTTCTGGTGCCAATAGCCACAGGATATGAACAACGATAATGTTACGTGGCCCTACCACGATAAAATGAAATGAATATAATAATAGCTTTTCTAATTTTAAAAAGGCTCTAGATAAGACACGTTGTCCTGTACACACTACTTAAATCTGACAACTTATAAATAAAAAAAAAACAAAAACAAAACTTTAGTGGACCAAATTATGAATCTAAAACATTCTCGAACCCACCAGAAGACACACAAAAAATTTCATTATAATCGGACTAGCCGTTTAGGAGTTCAATGACAC